GCGGGGGGGTAGAGAGAGAGTGCTTGTTTGAGGGTTGTGTTAGAATATAATAAAAGAGTAATAAAACCATTCGGGCCTTCACATAATAGCTTAAGCTTTTTAGAGTAATTGGTTCATGACAATTTTGTTCTACCATAGTAATAATTTACTTTCAAAATTTTCTACCCTAAAGGTTATCCTAGGCTTCTTGGGAAGTAAATAATAACCTTATTTCTCAGGCTTCCTTGAATATCTTCTGCTTTCTGATTCCTTAGATATACCACTCTTTTTTTAAAATTGATATACCAAAATTTAAAACATATAGAATGATTTACACTTCTGTAGCCCGTGATCCATCACTTTGTATGAAGCTTGTTGCTTCCCTGGATCAAAATTACCTCTTCCTTTACCTGCTAAAATGTATGACTAACATTTAAATTTTTGTACTGGTCATTTCAATATTAGTTACCCTTGAAGCTGTTCTTAGATCAATTAATAGTTTAATTTAAATTTTTCTGCAGACTATCTTGACAAGGAAAAATACTATCACCGGGATTGAATATAGAAATGACCCCACCATTTTTGGTTGGGAATTGATTAATGAACCTCGTTGCATGTCTGATCCTTCTGCTGACACTCTACAAGTAAGTCCTTTATATGTTCTATAACTAACCCCTTGAAATATCTATGGAATAAGTATGCTAGCAAAACCACTGCGTCAAGGCTTCATTCAAATTCATAGAAAATGAAGGGTGATAAGAATAAGGGCAGTGCTTATTCCGTTTTATTTAAATATCTAAGTATACATTTTACTTAATTCTGATAAAATTGCAGGGATGGATAGACGAAATGTCAACTTTTGTCAAATTGATTGACAAGAACCATCTGTTGACTGTGGGTCTTGAAGGTTTTTATGGTCCAAATGATCCAAAAAGTTCAACTGTCAACCCTGAGCTTTGGGCATCCAGACTTGGCTCGGATTTTATTCGGAACTCCAAAATATCAAATATTGATTTCGCCTCTGTTCATATCTATCCCGACCATTGGTAAGCATTCCATGAATGCTATGTTCTTAGTTGTGTTTGCTTTGTATTATACGAAAAAGGGACTAAAGAAAAATGCCACAGAGCACTGTCATGGAGTGTTTCAAAGTTATCTCATGCCCTTTAAAATCTGTCTTACAACTTGTATGTTGAACTACAGTTCCAAATTTTTCTTGTGATGATTTCATGTACCTATTATTTTGGCTTTTGGCTTTATTTATTTATTAATTTTGGCATAGGTTTCATGAGCAAGTATTTGAAGATCAACTAAAATTTGTCTCCAAATGGATGCTATCCCACATTGAAGACGGTGACAAAGTATTGAAGAAGCCTGTGTTGTTCTCTGAATATGGATTATCAGAAAAGAATGAAAACTTTTCCTTGTCTGACCGGGAAAAAATGCACAGAACAGTTTTAGACATAATATATAAATCTGCTAAGAAAAACAGGTCAGGGGCAGGTGCTTTGGTTTGGCAATTCCTAGTTGGTGGAATGAATGAATTTTCTGATGAATATGGGATGGTGCCGTGGGAAAGTTCATCAACCCCTTCTGTATTTATTGAACAGTCATGCAGATTGGCCAAAGCAAAGGGATGGACTCAACTGGATGTAAGCTTCAAACAACGTTGTTAACAAAAACAGTGGAAAACAAAGTTTAAATCATGAAACAAAAATCACTACAATATATTGTTACTCCTTGGATCACAGACAGATTTTTGTACAATATCCTGGCTTCAACCCCTTTCATCACCAATTATTGAAGTAAAGTGAATTAGTTGAATATAAGTGTTAGCTTGGATTACATTATCACAGATTCTTATGAAATTCAAATTATGTCATACTGCAACAAACCCTACAAGGAAGACGTGTGTAGATATGTGAAGGAAAAGCTTTGTATGTAATTAATGTAAATTTCAATTATCAAAAGATCAAATTTGTTCCATGGGTTGTAAGCGGAAAATCACAAAATCTTGCTAATATAATATATTCTCATGTGTCTTCATTCATGAAAAGTACAGACCCTAATTGCACAATAATAAAAGCAAAGGAATAAACATCTAATTACAATAGGTTTAATTGGACACACGCTTAACCAATCTAGGTGAAACTCTAACCCTAGGGCTTGTCTCAGATTCACTCGTACTCTTCTTTACCTTAGGGTTTTTCGACTTCTCTGTTTCTTGAAGCAGCGTCTTCTTGACAGGCTCACCGCCCTTAACCAACCTCCGAGAGCGAGCCTTGAACGGCGTCGTATCAGAAGCGTCGTTCTCCGAAGCGACCTTATCGAAATCGTCGCCAAGCTTCTTCACTAAGCGACTCTTCCGAACGGCGCTTCTGGGAGGCTCAATTTCTTCTTCCTCTTCTTCTTCCTGAATCAGATCCATGAGCTTTCGGCGCTTCGTAATGACCGGAGCCGGTGGCGGAGACGGCGAAGGAGAGGAGGGCCTTTTGGATCCGCGGGGTGGGGTTGGGCTTTGGGAGTGGGCCTGGGCCTTCTGGCGCTGGGTGCGGAGCCTTTGGACGTTGCCTTCGATTTTGCCCTGGAGGCGGAGGCGCTTGAAGCTGAGGCCGCCCATGGACCAGTGGGCCTCCTCGGCCCAAGACATTAGTGGGTCGTTGACGGGAAGGGGTGGGTCGACGCGGTGGTCGTTAAACTTGACGTCGGTGTAGATGCGGGGGCGGGGGAGGCTGGTGCCGTAGAATTTGCCTGGGCCAAGAGAGACTACCATTGTTTGAGATTGGGCTTGGAAGGTAATGACTGATGAGGGGAAGATTGAGTGTGTGTTCTTAAATAGGAGCTACTCATGGCGGGAAAACCCCCCTTGGCGGGACAACTTGCCGCTCCAATCCAATAAAGGTTAATTTTTAACGCCTTTTCGTAATGGGCTTGGGCTTTATCGAAGAAAGCCTTTGTTCGGTCCATTTGTCTTCAAACAAAAGGTTTAACTTTTTATTTTTTGCTGCCCTTGTCCCTACTCTCCTAGATTGTTGTGCAATTGATCTGGACTTGTTTTTCACATTGATATTATTATTTTTTGATCAATGGTAGAAGATTATTTTCCTTCAAATCATAGAGATGACGTTATGGATTTTTTTAATTGTTGAAATTGATAGTTATGCTTTATTGTAGCCTTATATTTCTTTGACTGGTTAAATTATTCAAAAAGTCAAAATTGATGTATTATGGTAACAAATCGGATTAGCTTGGTTTTTTTCCATATATTTTAGGGTTTAATTCATATTTAAATAAAAGATAATGTTAGATTCTTAGTTGGGTAAAGGTAAAATCAAGTTATTCTAATTCAACACATTTCCTTAATGAATATGTAAGTAGGTGTGAGGGGGGTTATGAAGTAATAGAATATGGAATAAAAGATTGCACTGTTTTATTGAATTGCAGTTTGAAAATCAACTTTCCACCATCATGGCTGAAAGGAATAGTACAATCGCAAGAGAAGCAGAAAACATCAGAGAAGAATTAAAGAAACGTCAGAGAGAAGATGCAAGTCATACATTTCACACCCTCCTTCACACTCTCTCTCCCTATATGAATGGTCCCTCATACAAATTCCCTCAGCATGCTATTGCGGGTTCGTGTCCTAGTCCCACGTCTCACTCCCTGAATTTCCAGGTTGTTAGTAACTACCCAATCATTTTCCCCATTTTGCCCCTCTCCTTGTAAACTTTCTGCATTATTATTTTCCATGTAATACTGTCCCACTGACATCTTCATTACATTGCCTTCCCCTTTAAGAACAACCTTGTCCTCAAGGTCGATATGAGGAAAATGAGTTTTAATAAATGTGACATCCTCCCATGAATTGGGAACATTGATGCTAGGATCCCATTGGACCAATACTTGAGAATGCAACTTAGAACCTTGTAAAATTGTGCGAGCATGAAGGATGGCCACCGGCTGCAAAATGGGACCCAATTCAGAAGTTGTTAGTGGTAGTGGCATGTAAGGCTCATTACTAACTCCTTTGAATGGCTTCAACTGAGAAATGTGAAAAACCGGATGAATGCGGGCAGTCTCGGGAAGTTCCAACTTATAAGCAACAACACCAACTTTACCAATCACCTTAAATGGGCCAAAATAACGCATAGATAATTTTTGGTGCTTGCGTAATACCACCGAATGCTGTCGATAAGGCTGTAATTTGACCAAGACTTGATCGCCAACCTGAAATTGCATATCAAACCTCTTTTTATCTGCTTGATGCTTCATATGCTGCTGAGCTTTAGTCAAATTACATTTTAGTTGATCTAAGAGTTGGTCCCTCTCAGTGAGCTGATCCTGAACATCACTCGGGTATGCTGGGCTACGCTGATAACGAGTCAAAGTAGGTGGGTCTCGACCATACAAGGCTTTGAAAGGGGACATACCCAAGCTTGTATGAAAAGAGGTGTTATACCAATACTCTGCCCACGTCAAACCTTTTGACCAAGACTTGGGATTTTCGAAAGTAAAACAGCTCAAAAACATCTCTAAACATTTATTCAAGGCCTTAGATTGACCATCAGTTTGCAGATGGTAGGTAGAGCTCATAGCTAGCGTGGTTCCATGCAACTTAAATAAATGTTGCCAAAAGGTACTAGTGAAAACTTTGTCGCGATCAGACACGATTGACTTCGGCAGACCGTGTAACTTGACGATATGCAACGTGAATGCTTCAGCCACCACTTTGCTACTAAAATCCGATTTTAAAGGCACAAAATGGCTATATTTAGACAGTCGATCGATCACCACCATAATAACTGTGAAGCCACAGGAGTTTGGCAACCCTGTGATGAAATCCATGGCAACATCGTCCCACACTTGTTGCGGTATGGGAAGCGGTTGTAACAACCCTGCAGGGAGGGAGTGACTCACTTTGGCCTGCTGACATATAATGCATTGCTGCACAAACCGAGTAACATCCTCTCGCATTTTAGGCCAATAAAATTGAGAGGAAATTCGAGCCAACGTTCGGGCAATACCGGCATGGCCCCCAATAGGCGAACTGTGATATTCAAGAAGCACCTTCTGAACCAAAGGACTCGGGGATGGTAACACGAGGCGATCCTTCCAATAAAGCAACCCATCGTGCATTTTGTAACGCGCATCTGGATTGGCATTGGCGAAACATAATTGCATGAGTTCGTATAATTCAGCATCATCTTCAAGTGCTTGCTTTAACTCGTGTAAGAACAGTGACTTAGGCTCGGACCAAGCCATAAAAAAAACACGTGACAACGCAACCGCAACAATGTTCTCTTTCCCCGGTTTGTATTCAATTGTGAAGTCATAGCCCAAGAATTTGTGAAGCCAAGCTTGTTGCTCAGGTGTTTGCAAAAACTGTTCTAACAAACTTTTCAAACTTTTGTGATCTATTCTGATAACAAATGTATGCCCCAATAAATAATGACGAAATTTTGCCAAAGCTTGGGTGATAGCGAATAATTCTCTAATATAGGCGAATTGTTTCTGCATCTTGGGCGCTAGCTTTTTGGAGAAAAAAGCAATTGGATGACCATTTTGACTCAGCACTGCACCAATTCCAGACCCTGAAGATATAAACACAAACTCCCAGTAAAAACAAATAAACTGTACTCAGAAATACAAGACAAGGGCAGTAGTAATGGCCTGTTTTAATGACAGAAATGCGTCCTCTGCAGTAAAAGTCCAAGAAAAAGCTTCTTTTTTTAGCAAATCAGTAAGGGGAGTCGTAATATTAGCATAAGACTTGATAAAGCGTCTATAATAGCCAGTGAGGCCAAGGAAACTTCGAAGTTGCTTAACATTTTCTGGACGAGGCCACTCCAAGACAGCTTGGACTTTACTCTTATCCATCGCGACCTCAGATCCCGACACCACATGGCCCAAATAATCTACTTCCAACAAGCCAAAAGAACACTTTGAAAGTCGAGCATACAACAAATGGTGCTATAAAGTCTGCAAAACCGATTCTAAATGAGTCAAATGTGCCACCCAAGAGGGGCTATAAATGAGAATATCATCAAAATACACCAGCACATATTTGCGCAAAACATTTTAAAAAATTTGATTCATCAAGCTTTGAAAAGTTATTGGGGCATTGGTGAGCCCGAAAGGCATGACCAGCTATTCATAATGACCATGATGCGTACGAAACACCGTCTTATGACGATCGGCAGGCTGAACCAAAATCTGATGATACCCGGATCGTAGATCCAACTTTGAAAAATATTTGGCTCCGTATAGCTCATCCAATAATTCATCCACAATAGGCATGGGAAAACTATCCTTGATAATTATTGCATTCAAAGCTCTATAATCAGTACAAAACCTCCATTAGCCATCCTTTTTTTTGACTAACAAAACAGGGGAGGAGAATGGACTCGTGCTGGGTTGTATAAGGCCTTGCTCAAGCATTTCTCGAACCAATTTTTCAATTTGTTCCTTCTGGCTATGCAGATAGCGGTAAGGGCGAACTTTGACTGGTTTAGCGCTTGCTGGTACGGGAATAGCATGGTCGTGAGATCTTGTAGGTGGCAATCCCGAAGGTGGCTGGAAAATGTTCTGATATTTGTGCAATAAAGCCCCCAAGTCAGGGTGCAAGTCCGCCGAGAATTGTAATGAAGAATCACCGGGAAACTCAGGCTGCACCAGTTGAATTGAAAACCATTCAGCAATAGCTTGTGTCTGCTGCATCCTATGCATATGATGTAACTGTGCTTGCTGAGGCTGGATCGGATGTTCTCCTTGCAAAACAAGCCGAGAATTGTAATGAAGAATCACCAGGAAGCTCAGGCTGCACCAGTTGAATTGAAAAACATTCAGCAATAGCTTGTGTCTGCTGCATCCTATGCATATGATGTAACTGTGCTTGTTGAGGCTGGATCGGATGTTCTCCTTGCAAAACAACAAATTTACCATGCTGAAAAAATTTAAGAGTGGAAGTGGCATAGTCCGCAATGTGTGGCCCAAGAGTGGCTAGCCAAGAAGACCCCAAAACAAGGTCAGCGCCGAAAACCGAAAGTAAATACACTGGAACAACCAACTGATGACCCTGAATTGTCATAGCTAGCTGTTGTATCACCCCCTCAGTAGTCATGGATTGACCATTCCCAACAAAAACTGGAAAGCCTGGAACAAGTTCGATTGGTAACTTTAAAAAATGAGCAATGCGAGGCTGGAGAAAGCTGTCTGAGCTGCCACCATCAACCAAAACCTTAATGGAAATAGGCTCAATATGACCTGTGAACTCAATGGTGCCCACACCACCTACACCCTTCATGGCATTAAGTGAAAGATGATGTTCTGGGTTACTCACTTCAGTATCAGGTTGTGGTAAATCAGGGGGATCTGGCTCTCGTGAATCCAGCAATTCGTCATCAATTAATTGTAGCATCATCATTTGGCGATTTGGGCACTTGTGAGTGAATGGAAATTTCTCATCACAAAAGTAACAGAGGCCCTTTTCTCTTCTAATTTGCATTTCAGCAGGGGAAATTTTTTTGACTTGGTTTTTGTGGGTTTGGGGAAAAGGTTTAGTGCTGGGATTGGGAAGTAAAGGCGATAAGTTGGATTTGGGTAGGCTATGAGGGATATCTGGTTTGGGATTAGAGGAGTGGCGGTTAGGGTAAAAGGTGGTCGCTCTGGGCTGGTACGAAGGGTTCTTGGGTGCACTGGAGAGGATATATTTTTCCTCAAATAATTTGGCTAATGCTACTACCTTGACCAAACTAGGCGGAGATAGTGCCAGAACATCCCTGCGAATCTCATCCTGAAGGCCACTCAAAAAACAGTCCAATAAAGCCTCATTGTCGATTCCAGACACACGATTAGCCAAAGCAATAAATGCTTTGTAATACTTAGCAACGGAATCAGTTTGGGTAAGCTTGAATAAAGAAGCCCGAGGGCACTCATATGCTGTTGGCCCAAAAGCAAGTTTCAATGCTTCAGTAAAAGCATGCCAAGAGTTGAAAGGAGAAGAAGGTTGCATCATTTGGAACCACGACACAACATCATTATCTAAATGTACCGAGGCAATAGACAATCTATCTACCTCGGAGGTTGCATAATAGTCAAAAAATTGTTCAGCCTTAAAGATCCAGTCCAGGACATGGTTACCATCAAAGCGAGGAAAATCAAGCTTCACGTTTCGTACCTGGAAGGGCGGCTTAAACGAGTTCGAAGAACCATGAAAGGACCCTTGAGAGGAAGAATTGTGTTGCAACAGAGTCTCCAACGCAACAGAAATTTGATTGAATTTGTCATCATTCGCTTGAATCACATTCTCCAGACGTTCAAAACGAGAAGAATTCACCGATTCAAGCTTTGCAATCTGAGCTTGTAGGTCTGAGTAATATTGCTCCAATTTATCCGAGGTTCGTTTAACATCGGCCTGGAGATCCTTCAACCGGGTGTGGTCCGCCATGGGGTAATGAAAGCACCAATGTGAGGGGGGTTATGAAGAAATAGAATATGGAATAAAAGATTGCACTATTTTATTGAATTGCAGTTTGAAAATCAACTTTTCACCATCATGGCTGAAAGGAATAGTACAATCGCAAGAGAAGCAGAAAACATCATAGAAAAATTAAAGAAACGTCAGAGAGAAGATGCAAGTCATACATTCCACACCCTCCTTCACACTCTCTCTCCCTATATGAATGGTCCCTCATACAAATTCCCTCAGCATGCTATTGCGGGTCCGTGTCCTAGTCCCATGTCTCACTCCCTGAATTTCCGGGTTGTTAGTAACTACCCAATCATTTTCCCCATTTTGCCCCTCTCCTTGTAAACTTTCTGCATTATTATTTTCTATGTAATACTGTCCCACTGGCATCTTCATTACAATAGGACACTAAAGTTCTTGGTCATCAATTAAATAATTAAGTTATTGACGAGTTGTTAATGTTGAACTTATCAAATTTAAAACTTTACTCATTTAAATAGCTTAAGATTATTTGTTTAATTAAACAAATAAGCTTAGACAAACATTTAACAAATCAAGCCTAAATCATTTATGAAAATTCAGTTCTTTTACAACCTCTAATGGTGTGAGCTCATGACCTTTCTATTTGATAAACTGAGGTCATGATGGGAATAGGTTTTCTCTAGTGAAAAAACAATCATACATAGTCAAATATTATCATCTTACCATTTATTCTTTAAAATGATTATATTGAGTAAATCACCCCTTGCATCTCGTAATTGTAACACATGAAATTGTAATTTGTTACACACGTTAGTTCAACCATTAAGTTATCTCTATTAATGTTAGTGATTATGTGATCATGCCTACCTAACTCATCAATTTGACACATGTCACACATTTTGATAGTCTATGGGATTAAAAGAAAGGTAAAAAGTCACTCTTTATCTTTCTTTCTCTCTTGGACGGTTATACTTCAATTATCTCTTTTCCACCCCTCGCCCACAAGACTTGTGTGTTTGATTGGTAAAAAATGGAAGAGTGAAAATGATTTTAGTGATTTAGTTAATAAGAAATAAAGGATGACAACTAAAAAGGTAATCTCACCCTTTTTTACTTTTACATAAATGAGTAAAGACTGAATTCCTAATTCATGATAGCTTTAAATTATCACAATCTTTTTATAAAAAAAAAAAATATTTTTGACCAAATATTGACCATCTCCTTTAGGATAAAATAAGAATATGTGAACACAAAACAGTTAAAATTACATAATTTAAACTTTTTAAATCAAGTCCCTTATCTTTTTTTAATTTTTATAATCAACTTAAACATAAATTAATAATGTGCGAAGAAATCAAATTTTACAAACTCATTGCAAAAATTAGAAGAAAAAAAATTATGAATTCAATTACAAAATTTTAAAGTTTAAATACTTAATTATTTTTTAAAAACTTCAAAAGCCAACATATGTATTAAACCAAGAAAGAAACTAACAATTACCGATAATAGTTAAAATAAAAATAAAAAAGTAAAAGAAAAGACATTTTATGAATCGAAACGGTATATAAACAGTAATATATCAAATTCTCTATTTGATTTGTCCTCTGAATATAAAGAAGATGAATTTCATGCATCTTAATCTCATCTAATACGTAATTAGAAGATGATTAGTTGGAGACGCGCTTAGCCAATCTAGGTGAAGTTCTAACCCCGTTCTCTGCTTCAGATCTACTCCTCTTTCCCTTGGATTTCTCTGTTTCTTGAAGCAGCGTCTTCTTCACAGGTTCGCCGCCTTTTACCAATCTCCGAGTCCGAGTCTTGAACGGCGTCGCATCAGACCGCTCCTTCTCCGAAGCCACCCTATCAAATTCATCGCCAAGTTTCTTCACTAAGCGACCCTTCCCAACTACAACCTCATCTTCCTCTATCAGATCCATGAACCTCTTTCCCTTGGATTTCTCTGTTTCTTGAAGCAGCGTCTTCTTCACAGGTTCGCCGCCTTTTACCAATCTCCGAGTCCGAGTCTTGAACGGCGTCGCATCAGACCGCTCCTTCTCCGAAGCCACCCTATCAAATTCATCGCCAAGTTTCTTCACTAAGCGACCCTTCCCAACTACAACCTCATCTTCCTCTATCAGATCCATGAACCTTCGGTGTTTCGCCACAACCGGAGCCGGTGGTGGAGAAGGCGAGGCAACTCTTTTGGATCCGCGGAGATCGGGAGGAGGCGATGGGGTTGGGCTTTGGGCCTGGGCCTGGGCCTGGGACTTCTCGCGCTGGGAGCGGAGCTTTTGGACGTTGCCTTCGATTTTGCCCTGGAGGCGGAGGCGCTTGGAGCTGAGGCCACCCATGGACCAGTGGGCCTCTTCGGCCCAGGACATTAGGGGTTCGTTGACGGGAGTAGGTGGGTCGACGCGGTGGTCGTTGAACTTGACGTCGGTGTAGATGCGAGGACGTGGGAGGCTGGTGCCGTAGAACTTGCCGGGGCCAAGAGAAAGTGCCATTGTTTGTGAAGTAGAAATGCCAGAGAGAGAAGGTGGTGATGGCGGGAACAATGGGTGTGTTTGTTAATTAAATAGGAATGTGAAAGAGGAGGTCGTCATGGCGGTGGCGGGAACACGCCCCTTCGCGGGACAAATTGCCGCGCCAATACCTGTCAAAATTTGGTGTCTTTTCGGTATGGGCTTGGGCTTTATCGGAATAGAGTTTTTTTGTTTGATGGGCTATTGTATTTGCAGGTCCATTTATCTTAAAATAAAATGGTTTAATTTATATTTTTTTTATTATATTGCCCCTACTAACCTGTCTTATCTCATTCATCGGATTCAATTCAAAGTTAATTTTGACTATCTTGGCTTTTGAATTTAAATTTAATTTATTTTGAGAATGAGTTTGAGTAATATATGTCATCTCCACTCATTTTAGTATTTATAATTCATGTCATCTCCACTCTCTGTTTTTACACTTATTTATATTGTTTAGGCAATATTTGAGAAGATAATTCACCATGTTCAGGCCATATTAGATTTGCAAACAGTGACTCCCGTCATTGTCACTTATGATTAATTGATGATATACAAGGAATATTACAGACACTTCAAAACATGCAAATATTGGAATAGAAATGATTTTATAATTTGTATTTTCTTTTATATTTTCTGTTTTTGTTGTTGAACATTGCATATATATAAGACCACTATTTATATCCTAATTTTATTTCTTCTGTATTCTCATCTCATCTATATTTATCAAATTATTTGTTATTTTATTGTTAACTTATTTCAAACAACTAACAATTAATTGCAAAATGCATTTGAAACCGAAATACACTTGAGTGTTTGTGTTGTGAGGGTGTTAAACGTCAAGGTTATTCTTATCGAATAAGATTTGTCAAAAGGGTTGTGAATAGTAATCTCTTTCAATTAAAGTGCTATGTAATTTTGACTTTAAATCAACATGATGCACCTTTAGTTTTTCACTAGTCAAATCTTGAGCAAATATTTTCTTCAACCAAAGAACTACATCTTTTCAAAAAAAAAAAAAAAAAAAAAAAAAAAAAAAAAAAAAAAAAAAAAAAAAAAAAAAAAAAAAAAAAAAAAAAAACAAAAACCAAAGAACTACATTAATGGAACGAAAGATAAACTACAAACAGTTTGCACTCCTACCAAACTGTATTAATAGTATAAATACAAAAATCAAACCCAGGCATGATTTAAATAATAATAAATAAAAGATTGCCATTACAACACACATAATAACAAATATCTAGTAGCCCCGGGGAGCACAAGCTTGCTAATCAACAGATTGACCACGCGCGTTTTCCACAAATAAGGGAAAATCATGTTTCACCTGAGTCTGTATGTTTGCATTTCTTCCCATCTCGTTCCGCTCTTTCTGTTTCTGAGATATGACAAAAAATATTACAGATCCACATTTATATTAGCTACTACATAGGCACTGGTCAACACCCTGAATTATATTACAGATTCACAAGGAAGCTCAACAAAATCACAGGACTCTTGGCATAAAATGAACAATGATATGGACATATAACTTGACAGTAAAGTCTGTTGACCATCAATGTTATCACAATATTTTCCATGAGCATCGTGGACGTTGCACATGCAGGATTAATTACTAAATATTCATCAATAACCAGGGACCAGGGTCGGTTGCAATCTTTTATCTCTATTTTTTTTACCCAACCATGAAGGATATGATCAACATTCAAATCCGTATACATAATCACACTCACTCACAAAGCAGCACACTTGGCACCTGGCATCCCACAATTAGGGTTGTTATCAGTTTGGATTTTTTACAAAATTGAACCGAACCAATCCATTTACAGGGAAAACCATATAAAGTGAATTGGTTCAAATTTTAATAAATTGGATCAGTTCAATTTTTCCGATAAATAGATCGAGTTTTTTTGAAATGGATCAATTTGGTGCAATTTGGTAATCTACTTTATATGGATTGATTTTTTTTTCAAAAACCTTGTCTATTCAAATCCGTATACATAATCACACTCACTCACAAAGCAGCACACTTGGCATCCCACAATTAGGGTTGTTATCGGTTTGGATTTTTTACAAAATTGAAGTGAACCAATCCATTTCTAGGAAAAACCATATAAAGTGAATTGGTTCGGATTTTAATAAAATGGATCAGTTCAATTTTTCCGATAAATAGATCGAGTTTTTTTGAAATAGATCAATTTGGTGCAATTTGGTAATCTACTTTATATGGATTGATTTTTTTTTCAAAATCCTTGTCTATTCTCTAGTCAATGTGGGACTTGAGTTTTTTCCAATACATCCCCTCATGTCCAACATTATGGGCTTGACACGTGGATAAATGGTGGGTGACCCTTTTTTAATGATCTAGGATAAATGATCCTTTTCTGATACTATCTTAGAATAGTAGATTTGAGCCTAACTCAACCTACAAAAACGGCTTATAAGACGAGGGTTGTTCTCTACTTATATACTATATAATTGTCTAATTTCTAGTCGATATGGGATTTGGGTTTTTTTCCAATAAACCTAAAATGTGTATTCAACCCACTGAATGAGAGTACATGAAGTTTATATAGTTTCAGTAGCAACAGCTTCGAACAGAAAATATAAGGTGCTACACTACTGCTGTACATATAAGAAAAGTAAAGAGTAAATCTACACTTCAATACAGAGACAAAAGAAATCAAATATAAAACTACTCAAAAAAACCAAAATACTTGTTTATCACATTCAATTGGAGGATAATCTACTAGAGGCTATGAATGAATTATATTCCATTATCCCTAGCAAAGGAACTACTATCGATAAGTACTTTGTGAAGTTTAACTGTTTTACCTGCGAAAGGATTTTATCAAGTTGATGTATTGGAAGGCTGAGTTTGACACAACTCAGCACTCAACATATGGTGAAGAAGAGCATCAACCCTCTGGCTTCGTGATTTTGTGCTGCAGCAAACCAATATTGTTAAATGTTAAGAGTGTAAGGCCACCATCAATATGCCTTTAACTAACATTAGCTTCTAGGTTGAATTGATCTTACACAAGACAAGGTAATAGATCATGATTAAGTGCTTAGGAATAAACCATTACCCTATTATTCCTAAAAATTAAACTAAATTTTAGCATAAGGTATAATAAGCTTGCGCACTGTATACACTTCGAGTTCAAGCCAAAGGGCTTTTGTTTCAGGCAGCATGTTAGGGATATAAAACAATTCATGTGCTTTCACCTAACAACTAACAGCTTTAAGGATGAGTTGGTCTTTGATCAATATAGTAGAAGCAGCTTATGTGTGCATGAATAAACACAAAAATGGCATCCAGAAAAGTATTGACAGCTATACGTACCCAATAGATCGCCTTCGGTATTTATCTCCTTCAACTTGCTGTATAGAGATGACAAATATAGACAGATATTTAGAACATCTTTTAAAACTATATATGTAAAGTTAACAAACAATCTGTAACATAAAAACAATAAGAAACTAGAGACAAAACTCTTGCCTAAACACGGAAATTACATAAAATACAGTAGTACACTTGCTGTCCTAGAGACAAAAGTCTCCAACAAATAGAATTCTCTGCCCACAAACAGAAAATCACAACACACTTGCCTAATTACACACCTTACTATAAGATATAATCTTAATATCTAACTGCCATCAGTTATCTTCTATGAATAATTACCATCATGCAGTTTCTAATACAGAACTACTACAAAATTACCAATACAAAATAAGTTATTTTATGTCACATACTCCATATAATAATTGATCAATAGATCCTTCCTAAACTACTTGGATCCTCGTTCAATCAGAAACAAATAATGTAGACATCAGAAAGTTACTCTATAAGAGACTACAAAATGATCTCTGGAGCACCGGAAGTTAGTTTGTAATGTGGACGTTTATTATAGAATCAAGTAATAAGCAGCTTCCAAGTAGAAGGAAAAATATTCTGGGTTCAAATTCAAGTTTCAATGATACCCATTACTCACAAAAAATAATAAAATATTTTGCACACAGATCCAATGATAATATTAGGATAATCATTGTTGCATACAGTGAGGCATGTGGACAACTATTCAGAAAAAGTTGCAGTGAAAGCGCAGTTTGTTTTCATGTGGCTGATAGATGATAGCTGTGATCATGTGAGTATCAATTGTAAATATCATATCCAACGTCATCCAACTGCAATCTTTTCTACCGCTACACAATGTCCTCCATGTCCCTAAATTGGTTTAGTAATCTAATTTCTATACATAGGCTTACTCAAGACTTGAATTGTTCAATAACATTTTTTTTTTCATTCTCTCACTGTGTCTTTTAGAACCTTGCCTCAGGAAGGATGATTTTAATTGCTAAAGGGTAGAGTGAGTTATACTTCTTGCAAACAAGACAATTCATGATACACCAAAATATGAGATGTCTTTTGGTCAACAAGCAACCTTAAAATCTTGGGAAGCTTGCCAAATTTGGCTTTCAACACAAACCTGCCTTGGACAGCCTCTGTCTAGTTTACTTAAATCTTTATTTCCACATTTGTTTCTTGAAGAGCTATTGAGTCCTTAAGTGTGATAATTTGTCATGATTTTAAGCACCTTCATGCTTCCTTTTTATCTAGTGGATTGGTTTGGTTTGATTTTTTGAAATAATTGAACCATATATGAATATAAAATAGATAATCAAATTGCACAAAACAAACTCAATTTTAGAAAAATCAAGTCCGTTTATAAAAAATCAAACCAATCCACTTTATAAAAATGGTTTGATTAATTGATCCAATTTTATAAAATAGATTTGTTTGATTTGGATTTTTCAAAAATTTGATACATGAACAGTCCTAGTTATTTCCTTATTTCCTTTTTAGGTATTATAATGTTTACCCTATACAGGTGGAGATTAGTGAATATACAATTACTCATAAGTATTGGAATTCTTTGTGGACACTATTAACAATTACGAATATGTTTGTTATTTTCCAGCAGTAACCACTGCTTTAAAACAGCCAAAATTACAAAAGTTACATTTTTGTTCCCAATCATTGAATTTGATATGAATTACTATACAAAATTGGTGCAATTGTTAAAAGTTTATTTTGTAACTGAACTACATATCATTTATCAGTTAATGCTTAAACACGGATGCTTGAAAGACTCAACAACTTATAATTCCTTATTGGGAAGAGTTCACATTAAATACAAACCTTGTCATTTCCTTCACAGGTTTCTGATGACTCAAGATCCATTTCGGCAAAGAATGCCTCCAAGACAAAAGCAATAATCTGAAATGCAGGAAAGACATAATCATTTATAACTTATTAAACATAAAGAATGTGTTATGATGGTACAAATTAGGCTATGGTATAAAAATCCAGGCAATTTCATTCCCTTTGATTAGTCATAAAAATATTTTTTGAGTTGGACCTAACTCAACCCCAAAAAGTTAATTCATGAGGTAAGGATCGCCTAAGTTGATAATGGAATAGTCATGAGGTCGGGTAAACTTTTGGACAGAATATCAGATCTATGATATGCCATCTTGAGTTTGGCTTGGGTCTAACTTAATCTTAACAGCTAGCTCATGAGGTAAGAATTTTCTAAGCCTTTATTTTACAAGCTTTACTTTGATCATATTAGTTCATGTAAGATCTCAAACAAAATGATTTTTTATTACTGTTTTCAATTAAATATATTTTAGAAGTTGTATTTAATTACCACTCTAAGTAAAGGTCGAGTTCGAACCTTGACACGATTCCCTCAGGGTTGAGATAGGTTATCCTAAAGCCGAGGTCGAGTTTCAATCTCGATAGGACCACTCTAACCTGAAGTCAGACTTGGACTCGAGTCCCACCGCAAGGTACCTTGTTTTCACCCAATGTAAAACTCGAACCTCGGTTCAAATCATTTTATTCTAAGCCAAGTCTGAGCACCACAAAACGCGAAATGCAAAACAAATTCCGAACAAACTCATCCAAACACAAGATGAACAACTCAAAGGAAATGACATATACAAAACAAGTACGAATGTTCAATAAATGAATTCAAGGAAAAGAAAACAACAAAGTAGAAGAATATAACAAAAACGGCCTAGACGGAAGCATTCTCACTGGAGCTGTCCTCGAGGTCGTCCTCCTTCACCAGCTTTCCAAAGCGGACCTCCTTCTCCACATGCATAGCGGAGAGGTCGAACCCCAGCGCAAGCAACCTTGCCTGGCGAGAAGCCTTGAGGAATCCCCTCTTGTGCTCGAAGACGACGGCCCGCTCAGTCTCCTCGAGCTTCTTCTCTAGCCTTGCCTTTGCCTCCTCCAGCTTTGCGATGTCCACCCTCAGATCGGCATTCTCCTCTACTTGGCCACCAAGAAGCACCTCGTCACAAAGACGCTTCTCGGCCGCTGCCACCAGGTCGGCCTTTTGTGCAGTGACCTCGTCCTCCAAAAAACGCACCCGAGCTCGAGAGGAGTTGGCAAGATCCTGTAGCTCGCGCACCTGGGAAGCGTAGGTCTCATTGGCCCTCAGATCAATCTCCAAGGACTTTTGGACTCTTTCCACCTCCCTCCGTGTAGCCTGAAGCTCGGCCTCACTCTACAGCTTGGCATCCCCGAGGGCAGCCG